TATATGACCTTTTCTGTCTGGCTTATTTCATTTAATGTGTTTTTTGTTTGTTTGTTTTGTTTCTGGTACCAGGGAATAAACTAAACCAAGGGGCCTTAGCCACTAAGCCACATCCTCTGCCCTTTTTATTTTTATTTAGAAACAGGGTCTCACTGAGTTGCTTAGGAGCTTGTAAGTTGCTGAGGCTGGCTTTGAACTCATGATCCTCCTGCCTCAGCCTTCCCACCTGTTAGGATCACAGGTGTGGTCCACCTTGCCCAGCTCACTTAAGGTCTTCAATCTCATCCATAATATAGCAGGTATCAGTACTTCATTTATTTTTTAAGTTTTCTTATTTTTTTTTTAGTTGTAGTTGGACACAATACCTTTGTTTTATTTACTTATTTTTATGTGGTTCTGAGGATCAAACCCAGGGCCATGCTAAGCGAGCACTCTATGGCTGAGCCACAGTACTTCAGCCCCAGTACTTCATTTCTTTTCATGGTCAAATAGTATTTTATGTATGGATATACTACATTTTGTTCATTCATTTGTCAGTGCGATGGACATTTGAGTTGTTCCTGCACTTTGACTATTATGAAAAATGCAGTTATAAGCTTCTGATTATGAAACTGTTGTGGAAACCTGTGTATTTATTTCTTGGTTACATAACTGGGAGTGGAATCTGTGGGCCATATGGTGAGTCTTTTAACCAAGCAGTTGTAAAAGACAAGCCAGGCACAGTAGTGCATGCCTATAATCCCAGTGGCTGAGGAGGCTGAGGCAAGAGGATGGTGAGTCTGAATCAGCCTTAGCAACTCAGGGAAACTCTGACTCAAAATTAAATAAAATACAAAGGGTTGTGGATATAGCCCAATTGTGGAGCATCCCTGGGTTCAATCCCCAGTACCAAAAAAAAAAAAAAAAAAAGTTTTGAGGCAAGGAGTCCAGGACCAGTGAGGAGAGGTGTCAGGCACCACATTTCACAGTCAGAAAGTGAGAGAAAGAAGCAAGACAGGACCCCACACCTCTGATCCCAAAACAGGACTCTTTATTCCATGTTCTAGTGATTCCATGTATCGTCAGGTTGTGCAACAGGCTGTCAGTGCCATGCCAGCCCCAACAGCCTCACAGATAGGCAACAGGAAGGAAGGAAGAAACCCAGAATTATTCAGCACCAGCTGCCTCCAGGATTCAGGCTGGACCCTGGGTGTTCCCGGTCTGTGGTGCTCTTACCACAACCCAGCCAAAAGGGTGTTCAGTGCTCACTCTGCAAAGTCAGTCGGACACTGGGAGGAAACCCATGTGCCCAAAGTCGCATAGCAAATGAATCCACAGATCTGGACCTGGGTTTGCCATCTTTGAAAACCCAGCCATTCCATTGAACCATGCTTTCCTCTTCTCATATTTAGTGACCTCAAGGTCCAGTAAACAAATCTTTATTGCAAAAATCCACTCAGTAACACACACTGGGGCATCTATATGCCTTCTCTGTGGATGCAGAAATGAAATCATTCTGGCTCTCAAGAACAGGAGAGCAGGGGCTGGGGATGTGGCTCAAGTGGTAGCGCGCTCGCCTGGCATGCGTGCGGCCCGGGTTCGATCCTCGGCACCGCATACCAACAAAGATGTTGTGTTCGCCGAGAACTAAAAAATAAATATTAAAAAAAAAAAGATTCTCTCTCTCTCCTCTCTCACTCTCTTAAAACAGGAGAGCAGAGAACAAATCTCATTTGACAAAGAGCTTCTCAATGAGGAACCACTTAACACCACAGAATGGCAAACATTTAAAAGTTTGTTCAACTAGTTGTTGGTATGGATGTCCACAAAGGGGCGGGGGGGGGGGCTCCAGGCATTGCCAGTGAGAATGTAAATTGGTAGAAATAATTCTAGCTTAATCCTAGCTAACACATGACACCTACTTTGTATTATACACTATTCCAAACATGTTAAAGATTTATTCATCATTGTAGCAACCATGTAATGTGTAACCTTACTTTTGTAAATTAGGAAACTGAGAGAAAGGGCTACTTATCTATTAGACTCAACAGGTACACACAGTGCCTAGAGTCTATCATACTCTCTTAGGGACTCAAAACATGTTTTTTTGTTTGTTTGTTTTTGGTACCAGAAATTGAACTCAGGGGCACCTGACCACTGAGCCACATCCCCAGCCCTATTTGGTATTTTATTTCGAGACAAGGTCTCACTGAATTGCTTAGTGCCTCCCTTCTGCTGAGGCTGGCTTTGAACTCGAGGTCCTCCTGCCTAGCCTCCCAAGCCACTAGGATTGCAAGTATGCAACACTGCACCAGGCTCACAAACATGGTTTAATTTATTTTTATGTTACAAGAAAGTCAGGCATGATGGTGCACATCTGTAGTTCCTGCTACTTGGGAGACTGAGGTCAGGGATCTCTTGAACCCAGAAGTTTGAGACACGACCAGGCAATATATTGATACCCCATTTCAAAAGCACTCAAAAGAAAAACATAATCCTTTCTCAGTTATGTTCATCTGCATACCAATGTAGTCATAAAATATACTTTGTAATGTATTTTAGGATCAAAAGGACCAAAAAGACAGTTTCCAGGGCCCATGAAAATCATAATGCAACCATGGCATTATTAAGTGTCTTACCTAAGATTTCCCAGACACTGAGTCACGGACTCATTGTATTTCCACCAGTGACTCAAATTTCTCGATCCAGCAATTCAACTCCCAGGTGTATAATATGTATCTTGCAAATTTGGTTGTTGTTGTTTGTGGCACTGGTGATAGAACACAGGGTCTGTGCATGCTAGGCATGCACTTTACCACTGAGCTACAACTGCAACCCCCAGGAGTATTATTAGAGAAAATTCCCTTTGGGTTCAAGAAGACATGAGCAATAACAGTGTGGCAGTGTTGTTTGTAATAATAAAAATTTGGACCAACCCAATGTCCACCAACAGAGAGTAGATGAAGGTAATGTAAATGATGTAGGTAAACTAGATGAAGATAATATAATTGTCAGTGGGTGTTTCCAATGAGCAATTAAACTGCACATATTAATGTAGACATGAAAACAATGCCAAGGCTGGGGGAGTTTGCCGCAGTCCGCCTGCAGCAAAATAGGGGGGGGGGKGAGAATAACTTGTGTACCTTGATACAGCAGGAATGGGAGCCGTTTATTGTAGGACAACAGAGGTATTTATACATTTTGCACAGCTTATCCTGATTAGCATAAACTAGATACATCAGTCAACCAATAAGGAATCTCCACACTTAATGGCTCACTTTTGTTACTTTTCAAACCACTCCCTCTGGCATTTTGCCAGGCAACATCCAAACTTGTTTACGAACTCTAACATGCCCCTGGCAAAATACCAGGTGTTATTTTTGACTTTTTTATAGACCTTAACAGGAGTTAGAGTTTGCACTGAAGTTACACAATCTATTATAAAATTTTAAAACATGCAGAACAATTTCATATCTTTGCATACCTGTAGCAAAAATTTTAAAAATACATGCATGAACCTGGTGTGGTGGCACCCACCTGTCATCTCAGCAGCATGGGAGGCTGAGACAGGAGGATCACAAGTTCAAGACCAGCCTCAGCAATTTAGTGAGGCCCTAAGAAATTTAGTGAGACTATGTCTCAAAATTACAACAACAACAAAAAAACCCAATCATGCATGAGAATGATGAACAGTAGATGCAAAATCTAACAATTCCAGGCAAGGCAAGAGAAAGAGGAGAATGAATGTTGAGGTACACAGAGGCCTCAGGCTGTATGTGTTTTGTATATTTTAAATGTTGTTTTGTCGAGTATGAAGAATTATGTTACTCTGTATTCTTTCCTATGCMGAAGTAGTTCATAACAAAATAAATATAAGTAAAAGACTTTATATATCAGTTGAGATAGATTATGCTGCAGCAATAAATAAGCCCAAAGATCAAAGAAATTAATAAAAGTTTATTTTAAAGGTTACCTATCTGGGACTGTGGGTGTAGCTCTGTGGTAGAATGTGTGCTTATCATCTTGAGGACCTGGATCAAGGCAGAGTTCGCTACAGGACGATCTTAAACACATGCTTGCTGTAAACATTATATATCCAAGGCACCAGCTTTGTGTTCATAGTCACTCTGGAGCCCGGGCTGATGCAAACTTGACTTTGACCAACAATCTCTGCCCAAACCAGTAAGAATGGAAGACTGTGGGTCGCTCTATGGTTCTTCATGTGTACTGAAGGGATCACGCAATACTTTCACCTACAAGTCGACGACTACATTTAACTTCAAAGAAAAATGTAACCCTGGGCTGGGGCTAAGTGGCAGAGCGCTCGCCTAGCACGCAGGAGGCACTGGGTTCGATCCTTAGCACCACATTAAGGAAGTAAATAAAGACATCGTGTCCATATATATATATATATATATATATATATTTTTTTTTTTAAAGCACCCTTATCATGTTCCCCGAAGGAACTGCAAACCTGGGAGCGACGGTCATGTTTTGGGTCTCCTGCCCTGCCAAGGAAACACTTGAGCGTCTCACGGTTCTTCTACGTCTCTTTTCTCCCAGGGCTGCAGTCCCGTCCAGGACAAAGGGGAGTGTCCAGAGAAGTGCAGTGACGAACTTCGACCGCAGCCAGGAGGCTGGAGGACCGCGAGCAGCGCGAGGAGCCCTGTCCTTGGTGCTGCCGTCGCCCCTGGCCCCGAGCGCGGCTCCCACACCGGCGGCTTCCTCTCGGCACCCGCGCGGCTGCGGTTCACCGAGACTCGTTCTCGACACCGACTCTGAGAACGCCTTCGATTCACAAACTCCGCACCCGGCGTCCTCACGCCCCGCAGAGAGGGGACCGCGACAACTTCACCAGCGAGGCTCCCGAGCAAGCCCGGCTCGGCCAGCGCCGTGGAAAGGCCCGTCTGGACGCCTCGCCTGCGCGAGCAAGGACCCCGGCCGCCCTCCGCGCCACCCGGCCGCCCTCGGCGCCACGCCGCCTCCCTCCACCCAGCCGCCTGCCTCCGCGCCGGCCCCGACCGGCAGGCAGAAGAGCGGCCCGAGCCCCGCCCCAGCCACGCCCCTCTCCACCGTGCAGTGCGCCGGCGCAGAACCTCTGACRCCAGCCCAAGCCCCACCCCCTTGGAGAGCGACCATTGGCCTCGGGGACGGGGCTTGGGCACAAGATGGCCGCTGCGCGCCCGGAGCACCCGAGTCCGAGCTCACGGATCCCAGAGTCGCGATCCCTGGAGCCGCCGGACCTGGTGGGCTCGATGAATGGGCCTGGGCGGGATGCCTCGAGGCGGGGGAGGTCGCAGGGCAGGGGGCGGGGCCTATGAAGGTTGGCGGGGGTGGAATCAGGGCCTGGGGGCGGGGCTTTTGGGGTTTCGCTGGGGCGGGGCCTAGGGAGGCGCCTATGGGATTCGAGGGAGTGGCCTAGAGGAGGCGGGGCCTGGCGACAGGGGTTGTCTGTGGTGCAGGATTGGGTATGGTGAGGAATCCCAGGGATTCGTTTGCATAATTAGGGTGGTACCTTCATAGGGGCGGGGTCTTCGGGAAATTCTAGGGCTAGCCAATTTGGCTGGAAGGTTGAAAAGGTGACCCTGAAAGAGGGGTAATGACCAGGTCACAATGTAGGGGTGAAAGGATGATTCTGCAAGTGATGCCTCTCAATGCCCATGGGAAGATTTGTGGGGAGAAATGGGTGTCCCAGATGACTTTGGAACCTCCTCCTTGTTCCCCTCATTCAGGACTGGAGAGTAACTGGGGACATTCATTAATTCAACAAACATTTACTGAGCTGCTTGTTCAGGGTCCATAACAGAGGTGACCAAGACAGACAAGGATTGTGTTCTCTTGTAGCTTGCCATCCTGTGAGAGGAGAGAGACTATAAATGAGATTTTTTTTTTTTTTTGGTGATACATTCTATAAAGGAAATAAAAAGTGAGCTGATAGAGTGGGGGTTGGGGAGCTAAATTTAGATGACAGAAGTCAGCTGGGTGCCGGCTTCTGTTTACATTGGGGTCAGAGAGATAAGCAGGAGTCAGATCAGGGTGGCTACTATAGCGAGGGTTTGAGGTTTTAATTGCATTTGGAGCCATGGGAGGGTTTTGAGTGGAAAGTGGCTTTATCTGATTTACATTTTCAAGAGCCCATTCAGGCTGCTCAAGAGAGGTGGATTATAAGGGGAAGAAGTGGGAACAGATTCCCTCTAGGAGGCTCTTTCAGCTATGGAAGCAGGACAGGGGTTTGAGCTTGGGTGGAGGAGAGGTGGCTGGGTCTTCGATATATTTTAGGCAAGAGGGAAGAGCTGAGGGCATGGGGTGGTATCCTGGGACTTGGTCATGACCTAGAAGGAGAGGGAGCAGTGGCCTGCAGGGAAGCAGACATTTAAGTAAGTGGGGGCTTCTGGGGAGGTATCCAGGCAGGGTCCACAGGCTCCTTGTTCTTCTCCCCCTACCAGGTCCTGGCACCTGATGATGGCCGCCCCGCCACACCCCCAAGTGACCTCATCGAGATCCAGGTGGTGAAGGTCACAGATACCTCCCTGGTACCAGAGCCACCAGAGCCAGGTTCTTTCCACTGTGCCTTGTGTCCAGCTGCCTTCCGACTGGTCTCCGAGCTGCTGTTCCATGAACATGGCCACCTGGCAGGCGCGGATGGGGGCGGGCAGGGTGGGGACCCAAGCCGGTGTCACGTGTGTGGTCACAGTTGCCCAGGTCCCGCCAGCCTCCGTGCTCACTACAGCTTACACACGGGGGAGCGGCCCTACCGCTGCCCGCTGTGCCCGCGGGCCTTCAAGGCCTTAGCGCCACTGCTCCGGCACCAGCACCGACATGGGCTAGAGCCAGGCACCTCCCGCAGGCCTCCGCAAGCCGCAGCAGCTGGAGAGCCAAGCCCAGGGGTGCCGCAGGAGAGGTCAGAGGTGGTGATGGCCGCTGCGGCTGCAGGCGCGGCGGTGGGGAAGCCCTTCGCTTGCAGGTTCTGTGCCAAACCGTTCCGCCGCTCCTCAGACATGCGAGACCACGAGAGGGTGCACACCGGCGAGCGCCCGTATCACTGCGGCATCTGCGGCAAGGGTTTCACGCAGTCCTCGGTGCTGAGCGGCCACGCCCGCATCCACACTGGCGAGCGCCCTTTCCGCTGCACCCTCTGCGATCGCACTTTCAACAACTCCTCCAACTTCCGCAAGCACCAGCGCACCCACTTCCATGGGCCGGGGCCTGGGTTGGGAGACTCTGGGAGCCAGTTGGGCTCACTGGTGGCTGAAGGGTCAGGGAGTGGGTGCGGGACAGATAGCACTCTGGAAGAGGGGCATGGGGAAATGGTGAAGGTGAAGGTGGAAGTTGACCAGTAGGCTGGGAGAGCAGGACTGGGGGTGATAATTCTGGAAGTAGAAGGCAGATTGCAGGGGAGGGTGTGGGCAGAAAGAGACAGGGGCAGAGCAGGGAGGTAGTGAGCTGCTGGTGTTGGAGCAGAAGGAGAGTACCAAGGTTGTGGACTCCCAGAGACCCACACTGCACCTAGGTGAGAGGCCACAGGAGGGGTAGTGCAGCCCTGTGTGTGCCCAGGTGAACATGATACCATGGGAAGCATTTCACTGCCCTGTTTGCATTCTTGTTAGGTTGTCCTTGGGCAAAATGTAGCCTGTAACAGAACCTGGACACTAAAAAATGGGAGCCAGGGTCAAGTGGAAGGTGGGAAAATCTCATCCACCATGTTGTTCCTGGTCTAGGCCTTCTGCAGAGTGCTGGACTATTTGGGGCTCCCTAAGGTGGACGGTGGTGGAATCTTTTCCTACCTCACTGTATTGCACTGGACTTGAGTTGCCTACAAACCCCCAGGCAGAAGATGTCCACCACTTACTGGCCCCTTTCTGAAGCTTTAGGCTTAGAGCCTGTGGTCCAACACGTCTGCAAAGAAGCCTCAGGCTTCTCTACTTTCCTCCACTCTGAATTTGAAGCAGTTTATTGCCTAGTCCCAGGCAGTCCCAAGGATGGACTAGCTAATGGCAGCATGGCCTTCTGGCGGCACTGTGGAATAAGAGGACTTGAAAGCTGGAGGTGGGAAACCTCCAGTCTGTTCCTATTAAAGGACTTGATGAAGGGTTTCTCTTTGTCAGTCTTGTGTTTGGGTTGTCTTCTTTGAGGAAGTGGGGGAGCAGAGCCATGTTATGGTCTTCCATAAACATTTAAGTTGCACTGTACCACTTTCCAAGCCTGTGTTCTCATCTTTAGAATATGATTGAATAGGTACTGGCTGTTCAGACCTTTTATTTCTGTGTGGGAGAAGGGTTCAGGAAGGCTGGCACAATGTAGGGATCCTGCAGCTGGCACACTTGCTTACTCCCTGATCTGCTCAGGAGACAATAAACCACTAGTGTCAGTCCCAATCAGCCAGCACAAGACTGCCTGCAGATAAGTTAACAAAACTGACCCATTTCCCCAGGAAAACACTTGTTCTCCCCATCTCAGGAACCTGGACAGGTTCCTGTGGTCTTCCTCTGTCACCTAATCCCTTATCAGTCTCCCCATGTAGCACATTTAAGTGTCTTTGACATCTGAATACTTCATCATCACTATTCTTGTAGACCAAGCCAACAGTGACCTCACATCTGGATAACTGCACAGCAGCCCAGCTGAGGCCCTACCTTCTCCATTCTCCAACACTGGAGCCACTTGTATACTTGACACCAATCCACAGCTCCTTGTGACTTTTGAGAAGGGATCACAAATGTAAATACCTACCAGAGCTGCTTGGCCAGATTTAAAGGCAAAAGTATCTGTGAGGTGAAACATGGCAACTGACACTTGGGCTCAGTGTTGGCATTCAACAAGGAGTGGTGGGATCGAGAGCAAACGGAGCATTTACATTCACACCTCAGGAGAAGGTAATGGCACTCAGTGCCAACAGGGATGCAGGTTGGGTTTGATAGATTCTTCAAATTTTCAGACATTCCATTAGTTAACATTATGTAAAATCAAAGGATTTTACATAAAATCCTTAGATTCCACAATGTTGCTAACTAAGCCAAGCCCAGGGCCTTGAGCATGCTATCCAAGGGGTCTACCACTGAGCTACATCCCAATCATTGAAAGTTTTTGTTTTTGTTTTTTTAATGCACAAACTAAATGGTTTGAATTGCTTCCAGACTGGCCGCTGCCAGTTTTCAGCCTTTAGCCTAAAAAAACTTCCCAACTATACAGTTTAGAATTCAAGCCCCTTCAGGATCCAGCCACACACCCACTCCAACCTCCAGCTCTACTAGATTTCAAATTCTCCAGAATGGCTGGATTTAGTTGGAGACACCCCATCCTCTTCCTGGGATTATTTGCCCATGTTTCTACCTGGCAAGCTCTTGTTGCTTGATGCCACTGTTCAGGTCTCACCCTCCTTTCGAGGAAGCTTTTCTAACTCTTGCCCCAGTCTGGTAAGGTAACTACTCCAGGCTCCCTCAGTCTTCAGTGGTACTTCCACTTCCAGGTGACCTTGGAGCCCTGGAGCTCTGCTGTAGGCTGTCTCATGGTAGGTCTGCAGCATGAGAACTTGGCACACTGTGTTGCTGCCTTCTTGTGGGTCACACTAGACCTGCCCAGACAATGTCCCGTTTCATCTTCAAGTTTCAGTATTAAAGTACCCTGAGATGAGTCCCAATTCTACCATAAATTTGCCAGGTGTCCTTGGAGCTCATTTGTTCTCCAGGACCCCCACGCTCCTCTTCTGACAAGCGGGAAGACTATAAACTTGTACTGCAGGACATACACCACACAGTTCTGTGATGTATGAAAATGAGAGTTGCATAAGTTGGTTTTGTTTGTTTGTTTTTTGTTACTGGAGGTTGACAAACCCAGAGGTACTTTACCATTGAACTACATCCCCATCCCTTTTTATATTTTGTTGAGACAGGTCTCACTAAGTTGCCCAGGACAGACTTGAACTTGTCATCCTCCTGCCTCAGACTCCCAAGTTGCTGGAATTACAGGCATGTACCACCATGGATCTCTGAAAGGGCTTTTGAAATCCCAAATCATTGTCCTGGAGAGGCAGGTGCTACGAGTGAGCTGTAAATTGAGTCCACATGAGGCTGTGATATGCCTGACAGGAGTTCTCTAGTCTTCTGAAGGGTGAGGGCCATGTCTAACTCACCCAGTGCCCCAGCTTGGGACCTGAAAGACAGGGGCTCCAGGAAATGGTGGCAAGTGAGCAAACACTGAAAGTGCCATGCAGGGCAGTCTGTTCCCCTAGCCAGCTCTTGACAGGAGAAACCTACCTGTTTTGCTCACTTCCATTGGCCCAACCACTGGGCCAATGCTTGGAATGTGGCCAAACCTTAGTGAATACCAGCTGAAACACAGCTTGTGAGGCAGAGGGTGCCTGGGAATCACAATCCCCAAGGAAACAAGTTCTCAGCCTTGCATCTCGCCAACACTTAACCCCCACTCTCCCTGAGATCTGAAGATAAACTTCAACCACCCTGTTGATAAGATTTATTGTCCTCTGCTCTGTACAAGCTTCGTCTGCCACCCCACCCCCACCCCACCATCCAAGAGCACCCAGACCCCCCTTGTGCCCTCCCAACTCAGCTCATATCTGCTATCCAGCCAGATTCCAACGGGGAGGCAGTTCAGATTAATCTCCACCAAAGAGCTCCCAGGGCAGAATGCTGCTGGGGGTGGCTAGTGAGGGTTACAAAAGAGGTTGGACAGAGGGTTCAGTTCAGTGTCTGACAGAACGAGGGGAGGTCCAGAGATCCAGGATGGGAGTGATTTAGTCTTGATTTGTAGGGCATGTGCCCTGAAGGAGACTCAAACATCTGAAGTTCAGAAGGACAGGTGACAGCAAGGAGGGGGAAGAGTCTGATCAGCAGCCCTAGGAGGGAGGAGTCAAGAAGGGACATCTGATTGGAGCGGCAGATAAAACTCTGGAGTCAGGCATCCTTCCCCAGGGCTCCTGCCCCTGCTCCAGGGCCCCCCAGGCCCTCGGCCTTGTGCACCAGACGGTGTTTCTTCAGGCCATAGGTGTTGGCGAAGCCCTCCCCACAGGAGGAGCAGCGAAAGGGCCTGCCACCCTGGTGGGCCGCCAAGTGCTTACGGAAGTAGCCGGGATCCTTGAAGGCCTTGAGGCAAGCGGGACAGCGTAGCTCGGGCCGCGGGGGCTCATGGGCGCGCTGGTGGCGCAGCACAGAGCTCAAGTAAAAGAAGCCCTTGCCGCAGTGCTCACAGCGGTAGGCGCGCTCGCCCAAGTGTAGCCGCTGGTGCTCCAGCAGGTTGGAGCGGTAGCGGAAGGTCTTGCCACAGGCACCGCAGCGCTGGGGCCGAGCCACTGCATGCAGCCGCCGATGCTCTGCCAGACTAGACGATTGTGCAAAGCGTTTGGCGCACACGCCACATTTGAAAGCCCGCTCACCAGTGTGCACCACGCGATGCTGCCGCAGGTACCATGAGCGCAGAAAACCTCTGCCACACACACCACAGCGATAGGGCCGCTGCTCTGTGTGGCATCGCTGGTGGCGCATCAGCAAAGCTGCCTCCCAGAAGCGCTTCCCACACACCGGACAGCGGAAACCCCGCTTCTGCCGATGGCTGCGGCGGTGCAGGAGCAAGTCATAGGCGCCCGCGAAGCTCTGGCCACAGAGGCCACAGCCCAGGGTCCGCCGCACCAGGTGCACGTACTTATGAGTCACTAGGCCCAGGAAATGCTTGAAGCTCTGGCCGCATGTGGCACAGCTAAAGCGTTCAGGACCCGAACTGGCACCTCCACCGGCCCCGGCTACTGCAGCCCCACCGGCGTCCTCGCCCCCAGACACTCCTGCTAGCGCTGCTACAGCCGCCCCTACTTCTCCTGCCAGCCCGTTGTCCAGCACGCTGGCCGCATCAGTGGCGCTGGAGCCATCAGGGGGTTGGGAGCCACCCGGCGTGGGTGCCAGCAGGCGTTCTGGGGCAGCCTGGTGGACCAGCTTGTGCCACATRAGGTTCTCGATGAAGCCAAAGGTCTTGCCGCAGGCATCGCAGCCGTAAGGCTTCTCAGACATGTGGGCTTCCTTGTGGCTCATGACGTGGAAGAGATCTGGGAAGTGTTCTCCGCAGTCTGAGCAGGCGTAGCTTAGCCCATCCGTGGGCCCCCCAGACGCGGCGGAAGCCCCAGGCCCACAGGCTCCTGTCGCACCCTGGGTGGTGGGGAGGCCAGTGGCCCCGGCCAGGGCACAGGGCAGCTGCAGCCGGTGAACCTGGCGGTGACGGGTAAGGCTCTGTGGGTAGCCAAAGACTTTGCCGCAGAGCTCGCACTTGTAGGGCCGCTCGCGGGTGTGCACCACGTGATGCTTGCTCAGGTGGAAGGACTCGCGGAACCTCTTCCCGCACACGGGGCACTGGTGGGGCTTCTCTCCAGTGTGAATGCGCTCATGGCGCTTCAGGGTCTCCCGGCGCCCAAAGCCACGCCCGCAGATGCCGCAGCAGAAAGTCTTTCCTGGGACACCGGCGCCAGAGCTTCCAGCCCCGCTGGTCCCTGCCCCACCAAGCAACAGCGGATGGGCACCCAGGAGTGGGACTGGCACGGCGCCATAGACCACGGCCGCTGCAGCCGCTGCGGCCTTTTCGCTGTCTGTGGTGGGTGGGTCCGGAGGCAGGAGGTAGGGGCCAGGGGGAAAGGTGGGTGGGGGTTGCGGGACAGAGGCAGCGCCGTCCTTGGATGCCTCCGAAGCCGCAGGCTGGGCATGGGCAGCCTTGTGCCGAAGTAGGCTCTGCGGCGCTGAGTAGGACTTGCCACACAGGTCGCAAGGGTACACCGGCCGAGGGCTCCCCGCCCCCGCGTGGGCCGCCTGGTGCTTGAGGAGGTAGGAGGCATCCCGGAAGGCCTTGCCGCAAATGCCGCAGGGGAGGCGCAGGAGGTCTGCGGAGTGTGTCTTCACGTGCCGCTTGAGGCTCTCCCTCCGGTTGAAGCTCTTGCTGCACACGGAGCAGGAGAAGGGCTTCTCGCCTGTGTGGATGATCTGGTGCTGGTGAAGGTGGCTGGGCTTCTTGAACACCTTCCAGCAGAGTGGGCAGGCAAATGGGCCCTCACCACCTGCAGTGGACGGAGGGGGCACGCCAACGCCTGCAGGGGCAGTGGGGGCGGTGTTGGCATCCCCAGAGGTGGCAGGCGCGGAAGGTGTGGCTGGGGGGCCAGAGGAAACCGTGGTGGGGACAGCAGCGGCCGCACTGGCTGTGGGGACTGGGAGACCCAGTTGAGGGAGTGGGGGTCCGGGCTGTGGTGGACCCCCGGCAGCTGGTGGCACATCCTTGTGACAGCGGCGGTGGCGTATGAGGCTGGAGACATGGTTGTAGGTGCGGCCACAGACGCCGCATTCGTAAGGCCTCTCCCCGGAGTGGACTAGCATGTGCTGCACCAGGTGCGAGGACTGCTTGAAGGACTTCTGGCACACACCGCAGGGGAAGCGCCTCTCCATCAGGTATTTCAGCCTCCGGAAGTAGCCCTTGTCATCCTTGGTTGGGTCGCAGGCCGCCCCTGCGGCGGGTCCTGGTGGGTTCTGCGAGGGGGCTGGAAGTGGCCCTGGTGCACCTGTTGGAGCACCCAGCCCAGGTGCTACCCCCGGCCCAGAAGCCGGCCCTCCTCGTTTCAGGTTTCCAAACAGGTGCTGGTGTCCCGAGAGGTCGACGATACCCCACTGTGGGGCAGGGAAGGCAGCGTCAAAGAGCGGAGGCGGAGGGGCCCCAAAAGCGGGTGGCAGGGGCGGATCTGGCTTCTTGGCTTGGGAAGAGGACAACGATGAGGAGGAGGACGACGAGGAGGAGGATGAAGAGGAGGAGGAGGAGGAGGAGGAGGAGGAGGAAGGAGCCTCCGCCTTGGGTTTGAAAGTAGATTGGGGTGGGTAGTCATATTGGGGAGGTGGGGGCTGGGGCGGAGGCTGAGGTAGGGGCCCGGGGGCACAGGGCAGGGCTGCCACTGCCTTGGCATGCTCCCCATACAGTTCCATGGGCTCGAAGCGCTGGTGGTTGAGGAATTCCAAGAAGTCAAACGGGTAGCTCTGGAAATGAACCCCGTCCTCGCCCCCGATGCCGCTGCTCCCACCACCCCCGGCGCTGCTGCCTGCCGGGTTTGCCTCCATTTCTGGCAGATGGGGAGAAGGGAGACCCTGTAAAGAGGAGGATTGGGCTGAGGAAAGGCGGCAGGCCCCTGGCCAGCAAAGGGAGCTGTGTATCCAGCCTCTTGTCCCCCAACTTTCCCTCTCACTGCACCAGCCCCGGCCCTCCCCTCCCTTTCCCACTTCCCTCCATCTCTCCCCAGCTTTTCCAGGGACCTCACATACCTCCCAGTCCATCTCCAGATCCTCCCCCTCACCACCTGCAAGTCCATTCTCTCCTTCTCAGTCTAGCTCCCCTGGCACTGGGGGAGCCTCTGATCTCAGTTCTAAGACTCTCTGTCACCTCGGGTTCCACTTTCTGTTCTCAGTCCCCTCAGGACTTGCTTGCCTCTGTAAAATGAGGGTAACAGCAGCTCTGTCAGAGTGATTCGGAGAGTGGGCTCCAGAGCGAGAATGCCAGGTTCAACTCTAAGCCCTGCCACTTTCTAACTAAGCGACCACCTCATCTCCAAAGGGGGAAGAAGAGCATATCCCTAGGCCACAGGGCTGTTACGAGGACGCAGTGTTGGCACGTGGAAGCTCTCGAGGTAAAGTGCTGCTGGCATGAATGGAAAGTATCACCACGTGTCGTTACTGCTACTGCTTCTAGGAGTAGAAAAGGGAAGTCAGAAGGCAAGAGAACAGGAAGAGCCGGTCCTGGGGAAGGGGCTCTCCCGGAATTCAAGGTGGGAAGAAGTGTCTGCTTGCAAGGGTGCTGGTGTTTCTGGAGGACAGCCTGATCCAGACAGCAACTCACAGGCCCTGCGACTGGGAAGACATGGGGGTCTAATGCCATCTGCTGGGGTCCACAGTTTCTCCATGTTTAAAACAGGGCTGGAAGTCCTGAACTGCAGGGGGACTGAAGAGGCCGGCACAGCACATAATGGAACACATCTGTCCCCTGAGCTTTGCACACAGCCATGATGACATCACACACCTGGGGGAGCTCAAGCAAGCACTCCCAGCACCTGCCTAGGAGTACTTAACACCCCAGACTGCAGCTGTCCTGTCTGAACAATCGCCCCAGCACTGTCTCCTGCAGTTGCTCTGAGTTCTCAGGACCCAGCCAGCCTTTGAGCCAATAAGAGAGGTGCCCATGGGGTCTGCTACATGCCCATCATCCCTACCCTTGGGGCCTGGCTCAGTGTCCAGCCCACTTTAGGAACCCAGGGGCCTCCCAAGACACAGACCCCCATCCTCCGTCAGCATGGCAGGTTCTCTCCTCCCACAGGTAAAAGGTGAGTGCCTCCTCCACCCCCTGTCCACCGGAGTTCGATATTTTTATCTCCAGCTGAGTGTCCTTGTCCTTGGACAAGGCTTGACATCCCATGCCCTTCATACTTTCTCCATTTAATCTCTCTCCAGAACCTAGGTCGGGCCCCAGGGGTTAGGAGAAAACACTCAGTGCAGGAATGCTGGGCTTAGGGGAGCAACCTGGGGTGGTGGGAAGGTGGACATTACCTGTTACTAACAGCTGTGGCTGGCTGGCATTTCCACAGGCTGCCCACCTTTCTGAGCACATTATCCTGTTAACTCACTGAATCCCACCAAAACTGAGATGGGATATTTGTTCTCTCCATTGAAAAGGTGAGAAAATAGAGGCACAGAGGGGCCAAGTGACTTGCTCAAGGTCATAGAGCAACAGTCTATAAGGGAGCAACTGGCCTGAGCAGCTAGAAGCTGTGTCCTGGGAGTGGAGGCAGGAGTCTTATTCCCTCTTATTCCACATCCTTCTGGGTAGGAGGGAGGTCTGCACAAGGAACCTGGTAGGAGGGGGTGTTGGCTACTATCTTGGAAAAAAAAAAAATCAACATGGATCTTTCCTTCTGCCTGGAATGTTCTTCCTCAGATCCTCCTTCTGGTGGCATTCCCAGGCCACCATCCCACTCTTCTCTACATCCCAGTCACTGCCACTGGCTGGTGATGTCCTCCTCGCTGTGTGTTTACTGTCTGGCCTTCCTTGTTCCCTAATGTGACCCCAGGACCCAGCACAGCACTCATGGACACTGGGTCGGCACCTGACAAATACTTGCCGATGTGTAGAAATTAAACCCCTTCCTAAATCTCCAAAGGGTCCGTGAAGAAATCACAAGGGAAATTTGAAAATGCTTTTTGCAGTGAATGAAAACAAAACCACAACACACCAAAGCTGAAGAAATGCAGCCAAAGCAGTGCCCAGAGGGACAGGACCGCCGCGAGCACCCGAGCTGATGAAGCTCTGTGGAGCGAGCAGGTGCAGGCCAAGCTGACTGCTCCCCAGGGAGCAGACAGCAGGCTTTGGGAACAGTGCTGTGGCACAGAGGGCAAGGTGGGCAGGTGTGTGGGGGGGGGCATTAGTGGGGAGAGAACGGTCAGTCTCAAGATGACTTCCAGTGGGAAATAAGATACTTCCTCTTTCTGAGGACTCAGTGAGCTTCACATTGTCTCTCTGAGGGGAAATGTGTCACAGAAGGGCTTTATGCAGAGAGGCATACTGGGGAGAGAGGTCCCCCAGTGAAAGCTGTGACCGCTCACATCTACACTGGCCCAGTTTGATGTGTACCATGTCCTTAGTGCCTCACAACAGTCTGGAGCCATTCTTGGTCCCATCTGCTAAGTGGGGAACTGAGGAGCTGAGTTATTCCCCCAAGGTCACATAGCCAGTAAGAGGGAAACCAGGTTCTTGATTCTAGTTGTTTCTGATGTCAGGACCTGTGAGTTATTCAGCTGCAACACAGCAGCTCATGATGAAATTCCAGCCTGTTGTTATCTAACAGTGATGCACAGAGGCACGGAGCCCTGGGTAAGAGCCTCCCACCAGCCAAGCACTCTTCTAAACCCTCCTCCCAAACACCCTATGAGACAAGTTAAATTAATCTGGTGTTTTTTTCCTTCTGGTACTGGGAAATGAACCCGGGGCACTCTACCAACGAGCTGCATCCCCAGCCTCCCCCACCACTTCTACTTTTAAATTTTGAGACAGAGTCTAAGTTGCCCAGGCTGGCCCAGAATTTGGGACCTACTGCCTCATCATCCAGGGTTGCTGGGATTACAGGTGTGCATCTCCATGCCCAGATGGTTACACATATTGACTATGAAATACAAAGGAAGTAACTAAGAAAGTAACCAAGAGGTAAATTATTCTCCCAACATCACACAGCAGGTGTGACTCCCTACATATGCCTTCAGTATTTTACCCGGAGACAACGGTGGAGCCCCCATTCCATTGTATACTGGAGACATGATCTGCTTCACCCACCTCCCTGCCACCTAATCTCAATCTCTTGGGTGGACCCAATCCATGGTAAGCCACTGACATTTGTTAACTCTACTGTTTGTTGACTCATGTGACTTGTCTCAACTTCACAACAAACTCATAAACATTACTATTCCCATTTAAAGATAGGACAAGAGTCAAACCATGACCTTCTTCTAATCAAAACCCTACAGTGACTCTACTCAGAGCACAACTGAGACCTTAGGATGACCTCCACCTCCCCCGCAGGCCCCCACAGACACCAGTGTGTCCGCTCCAGCCATGCTCAGGGCTGCTGCCTTGCCCAAAGTGCTCTGACTCCTTCTCTCACCTCCTTCCTGTCTGGTCCACTTTGTCTTCTCAAACTGGCTCTTGGTGACCACTGTGGCCCACATCCCCACTGCTTCATCTCCTCCACACCACTCACCATCAACTAATGCTCCACACGTTCTGCCAGCCTGTCTTGTTTTGCTGGTCTCCCTCTCCAGAGAGAGTGGTGTTTTCTGTTGTTTTTTTTTTTTTTTTTTTTAATATTTTGTTGTTGTTTTCAGTACTGGGAATTGAACCCAGGGCCTTGCGCATGTAAGGCAACTGCTCTAACTGCCTGTTACAACCCTAGCCCTTTAAAAAAATGTTTTTGTATAGAGGCAGGATCTGGCTAAGTTGCTCACAATGGCCTCAAACTTAAAATCCTCCTGCCTCAGCCTTCCAAGTAGCTGGGATCATAAGCTGGTGCCACTGCAGAGGCAGGGGGAAAAAAAAAAAAAAACGGGGGTGGCAGATACTGGAAAATGAACCCTGGGGTGCTTTACCACTGAGCTACAACCCCAGTCCTTTTAATTTTTGAGACAGGTTCTCACCAAGTTGCTTAGAACCTTGCTAAGTTGCTGAGGCTGGCCTTGAACTTGCAATCCTCCTGCTTCAGCCTCCTAAGTCACTGGGATAACAGGCACCAAACCCAGCTCAGAAGCAAAGTTTACATTTTGTTCACTACTCTGTTCTCAGGACCAACAAGAGTGCCTGACTTGATAAGAACTCATTGATTAAATTAATGAAGGAGGGGAAGAGAAAAAGTGATTGAAGAAAGTGCTTTAAGTTATGAGCCCTAGTAGCCCCTCTTAATCATTTGCTCCTGGGGAGAGGGTGTTAAAAGCAGCTCTGTGGTGGGCTACAGTTGTCCAGAGGAGTGGAATTTACACCCAAATCTAACTTTTTGTCCTATGGCTTATTGGAGAGTGAGGGAATCTTGGGTGAGGTCTTCCTGAAACCCCAGCCCTATAACTCTGTCTCTTTAGCCCACTGTATGACTTTGGATTTCCATGGATTTTGATTTTTAGATGTCTGTCCTCTTGACATCATATCCAGTCCACATGGACTGGGATTTTTGCCTGTTTTGTTCTTGTGGCATTCCTAGGGTGAAGTGGGCACTCATAAAATAGCTGCAAGTGTGTGTGTGAACAAATGAATGATGTGCCTTCGGGGCTTGGGCCAGAAGAGGTGTCCTAGGCTCTCTGCCATCAGTCTTCCCTCCAACCCTCTTCCCTTCAACTTTCATGCTCCACCCTCACCAGCCTCCTCCGCTGCTCCTCTACTCACCCTGGTCACAGTGCCCTGTCCCCCCTGGCTGTTTACCAAGATCTTTGCCTTGCTAAATTACCTCTCATGATTCAGGTTTCACTTCTGAAGAGGCTCACCAGCCTCCTGGAGAGCGAGCATTATACTGCTTATTTGTTTTCTTGTTTCTGATCTGCCTTAATTAAATTTTAAAACTTCATAAGATGAAAAACTGTCTGCACCTCTCTCCTTCCCAACTATATGCCCTGGACCTGGAAGGGTGAATAGTCACTCCATGAACAACAAATGTCTACAGAAAGAGGTGTGTTGCACGCTGGTGGAGCCAGGGAACCTTCCCTAGGAAGTCCAGGGAAGTGTCATGCAAGCTGGCTGCAAGTGACTACAGAACTGGCTAAGGCTAGGGGAAGGAGAACATTCTAAGAACATCCCACTGCCGTGCTCTGTTCTAGAGCAGAAGTACTGAAGGCAGAGGAGGCCAGGATGAAGGCAGGAGCAGAGTCTAAGCAGACAGGTTTTTTCTGCTGGGGGCCTGGGGGGGGGGGCGGCAGGAGGGAAGAAGTGGGTATTAAAGGGGAACGCTAGAGGGAGCTGTTCGTTGAGGGGTGTGTTGAAAGGGGTATTCTTGAGCGGAATTAAGGAAGGGTTACATGAGTAAATAGCATTTTGATCAGAATAGAAAACATTTTTACGACAAAAGGGGCTCTGGGAGTGGAATGTATGTAATCATCGTTAGTGGGGGACAGTTATGTCGCAAAGCACGAATGCAGCCCTCTTCGGAGGCAGTCCTTTAGGATTCACGAGCCACTGCACTACAAGAGGAGCAATGCTGGTGGCATCGAGGGGACTGCCCTGCAAAAGAAGCAATGACGGTGAACTATGTGAAAGAGATCCTAGAGAAAGCATTGGTGGGGGGCCTGGCAGGTGAGGGGACCGTCACGAATGAAGGCGCTCTGGCAGCCGTCCGAGCAGGGGGCGTTCATGCGGGACACATCTGGAGCGGCCTTTTGGAGAGCAATGTGGGGGGGAGCCCTGGCTAGCGCCCGGCAGAGAAGCACTGACGTTCTGGGGGGGCGTCCTGAGGACCGCTGCAGTCCAGGGCGGAGCCCCCCGCCCCCGCCGCCCGGGCCCCCGGGCCCCCGGGCCGCGCGCCCGTCACTCACCGGCGCCGGGGTCTCCGCCGGGAGGAGGCCGAGAAGGCGGAGGAGGCTCCGCCGCTCCGGGGAGACCCGAGGGCCCTACCGGAAGTGCCACCCCCTCCCCCTCCCCGGCAGCCCCGCGCCGCCCGCCCGGAAGCGGAAGTCGCGCCCGTTCCCGAGGCGCCGGCGTGGAGGACGGAAGGAGGCGGTAGCGGCGGCGGCGGCGGCGGCGCGGGGAGGGGCAACGCGCCTGCGCACTATCGCGGGGACAAGGGCGGGGAAGGCCTAGGCGGCTTCCGGTGGGTCAGCGGAGTCAGGTGCGCCTGCGCTATGAGTGCCCGCTTCTTCCTCCGGCACCGCCCACGAGCTGCGGACATCCGGTTAAGGCACACCCTGAGCTCGGGTCCCACGCTTGGGCCACGCCCCCGGACTTTGAGCCACGCCTACCTTGTTGCAATCTTTATAGGCCCCGCCCTCGCCCCAAACCTGTACCCTTCGCCCCACCTCCACCAAGTTTCTCCCTCTTTCCTCTCTCCAAGACTCTGTGCTCTGGGGCTCCACCCTCCCTCCCAAGCCCTGCCACGCCCCTTCCAAGCCCTGACCGTGTGTGTGTGTGTGTGTGTGTGTGTGTGTGTGTGTGTGTGTGTGGCTCTTAAACTGTGTCTGCCCCGTGGATTTAAGCCCTGTCCTTCTTCCCTCATAACTTGTGTGTATGGTTATGCCTCACACCTAAAGCATCGCCTTGAAGCAGTGGTTCTTGAGTAGCAATGATCCGTCTCCAGCTCCTTGCCCCAAACCTCTCAGTAGAAGAGACCTATGTGGTGGGGCCTAGCGTCTGTGTTTGAAAATACTTCAGGAGGGTCTCTTGAGCTCAACCACAGCTTTACCACACTTGACACTGCTCCCCTCACATAACTCCATAAACCTCCCAACTCAGCCCTACCTCAAGTAGGGAAGCCCAGATCTATTCAGCTCCCCCTGCTAAGTTCCCCCTCTCTCAGGTACCTCCTTCTCCTAGTCATGTCCACCCCCCAGCATTTTCTAACAGTTAAGTCCTACTTCTAATGCTTTGTCATTCGAAAGCTCTCTTTCTAGTCCCATCCCTCAGGTAAACTCTCGCCCATTCTCTGGAAGTCATTCTTTTTCTTCTGGCCAACCTTAACCTCTTTAAAGCATCCCCAGCCTTTGCACCTTCTAAGACCCGCCCTAATGCCCCCTAACTGCCCAATAAGGCTTGCACCTCGGCCAAGCCCCCCCCCCTTCTTTTGATAAACCCTACGGAAATTCAGTCCTCTTATCTTCAAGTTTTTTTTTTTTTCCTTTTTAGTGCTGGAGGTTGAACCCAGGGGCTTGCATATATGCAAGGCACACATTCTCAACTGAGTTCTATCTCAGCCCTCAACTCAGTGTTTCATTGCAAACTGTGGGTCCACGGAGGCAGGACCTACAGTGTCAGGAATTTGGCAAGGATGAGGGGAGCCTAGAGTCACATTTGCATAGAAGTTCACTGTTTTACTTAGTCTGGCTTTTTATTGGTAGTACTTTGGGGTCGGGTGGAAATGGGAGAGGAGCAAAGGCTTCTTCTGAGCCATTCTTTGGCGCCATGCTAGCGAGGCACGTGACATGGGGTTATTTGGAATCCCAAGCACTTCTGTCAGGGCGGTGCAGCCGCTGAACACTGCAACGGAGAAGAGGCATCATCATGGAACACACACAGGAAGCCAGTAGGCAGGGATTTATTGCCACAGCCCCTGCCTCCAGGGGCCTGTTAGTCCGTAGGAAGGTGCCACAAGGCAGCAGGACCTGGAGGTGTAGGTCCCTAGCCTCGACCCCCTCCCAAGACAGGAAGACCACCAGAAGCGAGGGTGTCCTGGCCCACTTGCCTGGGCCCGGTGCCAGCTGAGCTCCTGGCTGTAAGCCAGGACCGGGAAGCAGAGGCCGAGGGTGCAGGACAGGCGGGCTCCTTCCCCTCAGGCCCTTCCTCACACACCCCAGCTGTGGCCGGGATGCCTTCTTCTTCGTCCCACGGCGTCTGGGGCCTTGGGTCAGGGGGACACAGGGGCATTCCCAAGGCCTCTGGGTGCTTGCGTTTGGAATGGCGCCGCAGGGTGTTGGCCTCGGTGAAGCGCAGCCAGCACACTGGGCACTGGTATGGGCGCTCACCGGAGTGCACGCGGTGGTGATGTGCCAGCTCCCCTGCCTCGCGGAAGCGGCGCGGGCACAGCTGACAGCAGAAGGGCCGCAGGCCCGCATGGATGTTGCAGTGTCGCCGCAGGTGGCTGGACCGCTTGAAGGTCTTGCCGCAATCCTTGCACTCATGCGGCTTCAGCTCCGAGTGTGAGATGCTGTGGCGCTCCAGGTCGGAGAGGTAGGGGAAGGCGCGCAGGCACACAGGGCAGAAGTGCGGGGCCCTTCTGGAGACAGAGCCCTGGAGCCCACCTGCAGCCGACCTTTCTGAGACTGTATAGGGTACACCCTGATCATCGATCAACAGGAGGTCGCTGCCACCACCACTGCCCACCTGTGAGGTCAGCTCCTGCGCCAGCGGGGGCTCCTGCCCTGACTTGGGGGGGCGGCCGCGCTTGCGAGGGAAGGAGGCCTTGAGGGTCCGATTTGAGGAGGCGGCTCCCCCGGGAGGTCTGCCTCTGCGGCCCCGGGGAACGGGAGGAAGTAAGGCCAGAGGTTTCTCTTCCTCCCCAGTCAAAGTCGAAGGCAACGGGTCTGGGCTGGGGGTGTCCATTGAGCAGTGAGGGGCTTGGGTCTGGGCACTGGAGCCGGCTAAGAGGAGAGAGGGGCAGCGTCAGTGTGGGGAGGGTCTCCAGCACCCCGTGTACCCCAACATGTCACCCAACCCTGGCTCCAAGTCTCTTGACCTGAATATGATTGACCTCACCCAGACAATTATAGCCATGCTGGTGGGTAAAACAATAAGATAATTTAGTACTGGATCATAAACGGGCACTGCCCTGATTTCCACAAATGTCCCCCATGCCCCACAATCTGTTCCCTTAACCAGGGAATTCAAGATCAACATTAGCTAAATAAAGAAAAATAAGGGTTCAACTGAGAGTGCAAGCCTCAAAATAGCCCATCAAATTCCAGAGCCATAGAGGTCTCAGAGATTTCCTTCCTGATTGGCAGAAGAAGGGAAGAGTTCAGGACTAGAAGAAAGGAATCAGTCCTAGGGGAAGTTTGACCCTAATTCGTGCATAAGGAAACTTATCCACATTGCTAAGTTTGGCCTCTGGAGTCAGATATCCCAAGTTCAAATTCAGAGTCTGTCACTTCCTCTCTCTGTGGCCTTGAGCAACGTGTTCACTTCTCCCAGCTCAATTAAGTCTTTCACAAAATGGGATTCTGTTCCACTTGCCCGCCCAGACATGCCATAGGACAATATTTTACACAGAAGAGCCCTCATTAGCACCATGCCCTCTTCATTAGCATCATGCCACAGCTAAGTCTCACACCAACCTCCTGAATGAGGATGCACCTTCCCCATTTTGCAAATGGGGTAACTGAGATACAGGAAAGCCAAATCAGCTAAGTTCCCTCTGATAGTTAGTGCAAGGCCAAGACTCCAATCCGGTGTTGCTGACCACAGTGGCTCAGGGAATGAGAAGAAATGGACCCAAGGAGATAGAGGACAGCATGAAGACTCTCAGACCCAGGTTTAAATCCAGCTCTACCCATAATAAGCAAGTGGTTGTACGTCTCTGAACCAGTTTCCTTCTCCGTAAAATGCTATATCTGGTTTGTGGGAGAGTAATAACGAATAAGGAAGGGGCTTTAAAATGCCCCAACCTACTAGTGCACAGTGAAACGACAACCAACATCACCATCTTCCCGGAGCCAACTACAACCTGGGAGCATGAGATCGGGGCATAACTGGAGGGCTAGCACGAGGGCGCCGCGCCCCCGTTTAGACTTATTTTTTGGTGGTGCTGGGGACGGAACCCAGGGCCTTGACTATGGTAAGCAGGTACTCTACCACCCGCAGCCCCCAACCCCCTTTAATAGACACACAGCGGCCTGAAATCCAAAGCGCGAGAATCTCTCAACGACCATATGGTTCGCTCCCGTGGGGTAACCCGGACCGGGAGGTGGACCTCTGAAACACGGGAGGAGAGCACCTGGTCCCTCGACCCTCCCCCACTCCTATTCCTTGCGGGCGCGCGCCCGTCGGACCGGAGCGGTGGAGCCCGCGCGCGGGGCGGGCCCTGCGGGGGCGGCGGCCAATGAGCGGCGCGGGGGCCGCAAGCAGCGAGAGCTGCCAGGAGGGGGTCTGCGCGCGCGAGCCCGGCGGCTCCGCGGGGCGCGAGGTCGGCGCGCGCAAGGGCGAGCGCGGGAGCAGGTGTTGGGCCGCGCTCCGGCGCGCTCCCGGCCACCTCTCCCCCATCCCCCTCCCCCCTCCCGGGTCCCCCGCCTCCCGGGTACCTCATTTGCATGCCGCCTTGGGCTCGCGTGTGTGCACGCGCGCGGGGGGCGACGGGCCGGCGCGTGGGAAGGGGCGGGGGCGAGGGGGCCCTGCCCCTCGGCGGCGGCGGGGCGGGGGCGGGGGCGCGCGGGCCCGGCCCCGCCCCTCGGAGCGGACGCCAGCGGCCCCTCCCCTCGCCGCCCGCGGGGAACAAAGGGTACTCGCTGGGTCCTAAGGACCGGTCACGTTCGTGCAGGCAGAGGCGCACAAGTCGCCGGATTTGCCCCAGTGGGAATGAGCCCATCACCACATCCCTGACCACATCAAAATGCCTTTCCTCCCAGAAAGCACCCAACCGGGTGATCCAATCAAAGATGGGTCGGAGAGAAGCGGGAAATGTCTACTTAGTGCCCGCAACTAACATGGCGCTGATAGCTTCAAGGCCCCATGGAGGATTAAATAGAAAAGATGGTGCCTGGTATTTTCTATCTGTATTGCACTTGGCGCAATTCAGTTTCTCTCTTCCTTCCAGATGCAACTTGGCATCCTGTAAAGAAGTAGTGCGAGACTGGGGAAAAGGAATCATAACTGTTTACGTTAGCACCAGTTAGCGTCATTGTAGACTACAGGAATCCGCAGGCTGAGTTTATTGCCCTGACGCTATGCAGCGCCGGGGGATGATCATAGGCCCCGCCCCGCTGCCCTCAACCAAGATGGCGCCAACACGGCTTCTCTAACTTTMAAGCCCAGGAAAGAGAAGGGAAAGAAGGAGAAGGGCGGGGTGGAGTGGAAAGGGGGAGTCGAGGGGGCGGGAGAAGGGGGGGGAGAAGGGAGCCGAGGCGGAAGTTGAGGGGCCCCCCGGGTGGAAGTGACGCTGCCCCCGCTGTCCAAAATGTCGGCGCCCAGAGGGAGGTGTAAGTAATTAAAGAGGAAAGCGGACTGACTTCCCTGGCCTCTCGAGGCCTCATCAAGCTTCCAGGACCTCCGCCCTGTTTGAGCGAGGTGGACCTGCTCGGTCCCGGCCCGCCTGACCTGCCCCCGCCCCGAGTGCCCGGGGCCCGAACCTTCTAGGGCCAGGGGGAGGGGCACAAAGGGCCGTTTTTCGGGCCTGGGTCTCTGAGCCGACTGTGCTGGGGGGGCCGGTTCTGCTAGCCGTGGGGAGCACGAGGGGGCGGGGCCTAGTGGTGATGTGGGCGGAACAGGGACCGGAGGAGCCGAGGGGGCGGGGCTTGTTGTGGGTGGGGCTTCGTACATTTTAAGGGTCTGTGGATAGAAACTGGGAGGAGCTTAGGTAAGGGGTGGGGCTTTAATACTGTGGTGGGTGGGGCCTATATTGAAAGGCAGAAGGAACTCTGTTTAAGGCCTGCTGGGAAAATAGGGACCAGGAAGAGGGCAGGAGGAGCTTAGGGTAGAAGGGGTAGAGTTTGTCTGGGGTGGGGTTTGGTGCTGAGAGGGGGCCCAGGTTTAGGTGTGTAATTTGGTGAGTTCCATAGAACTATCAAGTCTTTATAATAAAAGTGAAAGAATTTGGAGAGGATGGAGGGGGCTCAGTAGCCGACTAAGAAAGGGTGGAGGAAGTTACAGGAGTGGAGTGGGGATTGATCTTGGAAAGGATGGGGCCTATTTGAAGGAAGAAATGTATGGTATTGGAAGTCAGATCTTGTTAAAATACAAAGATTGGAGAAGTCGGATGACTTGGAAAGCATGGGGGTGCTAAACCAAGAAAGTAGTAGGGCCCTTATAGATAGGGGTAGTCAACAGCACACTTGCTGAGTCTTGACTGTGCGCTGGCTCACGTGAGCACAAGCATACTTGCCTAGCTGTGACTTAGTGCCTGCCACCATTCCATGAGGTAGGTACTAGAATCTTTCCCTTCTTACAGAGGACCAGAGTTTTGACTGGTTTTTATCTAGGTTGCACAGCTAGTTTTGGTCTTCCTGGAAGCATGACACTGGTGTGCTTAGCTGCAAATCCTTGTCCTCCTGTTCACTAAGCAGTCATCTTCAAAGAAGTGTAGGAGAGGCTTTTGGAGGGAAAGTGGCATGGCCAGGAATACGTGGTGTTAAGGTATAGAACTAGTGTCTCCAAAGGAGTGGTGGGACCTGCATCAGAGTGGGAGGGGTTTAGAGAGGATCCAGAGAGGCTTAACACGGTGACTTGAGTAGAAGTGACACGGTAGTGGTTATGAAGATTGGCAGATGAATGGAGAAGAGGGAGAAAGGTTTGTAAGAAGAATCTTAAGAACAGTGGGTGTGGTTAGTGTGGTGGGCGTGGCTTAGCAGTAGGAGGGTCTTCAAGGGGTCTGGTGTAGGACCTGTGAGCCTAAGGGGCTAACAGGGAGGTGATCCCTTCAACGGCTCTGTGTTTCCTCCCTACTCTAGAAAGCCCCCAGCCACCACTGTGCCACCTGTCACCATGGATGAAGCCCGGCTGCCGGCACCCCCGGCTCCTGCCCCTGCACCTGCTACAGCACAGGCAGCACCTGTTGCAGCCCCCCGCGTCCCATTTCACTGCAGCGAATGTGGCAAGAGCTTCCGCTACCGTTCGGACCTGCGGCGTCACTTCGCTCGGCACACAGCTCTCAAGCCCCATGCATGTCCACGGTGTGGCAAGGGCTTCAAGCACAGCTTCAACCTGGCCAACCACCTGCGYTCCCACACAGGGGAGCGGCCCTACCGCTGCTCTGCCTGTCCCAAGGGTTTCCGCGACTCCACAGGCCTGCTGCACCACCAGGTGAGTCCACAGGCCCACACAGCCCGCACAGGGTTGAGAGGCAGCAGATCCAGGCCGTGCACTTGCTTCCTCCCATAGAGAATTTCTCCTTTCCACCCTCCGCCAAAGCGCTACTTCTTTTTTGGTCACGGCCCATGGCACACACACCACATGCTAGTAAGTTGCCCCTCCCATGTGGCCCTCGCTCTGCCCCCTGCCAGGGCCTGTCCTGTGCGTCCCTTCCTTATAGTAAAATAGTTTTATCACATGTACATATACTTTCTTTATTTCACAACTACCAATTGAGGGCTTTCCCTGGGCCCAACACTGAGGTTACCAGCATAAAATCAATTAAATATCAGCTTTCAGAGAATTTATGTTCCTTTGGAGAAGGACAGTGGCCAGGAAAGTGATAAGAAAGCAGTTCCACAGATAAGAATGTTCTGGGAAAGGAGAAATGTTGGGAAGGATATTTTTAATAAATAAGTAAAATCGACATGGGGAGTGCCGGAGGGGAGATGGAGAAAGGTCAGGGCAAGGCCATGTTTGAGCTGGACCTGCGTCTGAGAAGGAGTCCGTGTGGGAAAAGCGTTCCAACAGGAGGGATGCCCGCGCAGAGGCCCCGGGTGGGAAGGGCTTGGTGTGTCCAGGACTGACTGGAGACTGTGGTTGGGCAGGGTGGAGGCAGGCGGGGCAGCCCCACAGCCACCCGGAAAACCACGTCTGAGGGCCAGACACCCTGCTAGGGCCAGGCAGACCTGGTTGACAGTGGTCTTCCACATCCCCATCTCTGTCCCCTGGCATCTCTCTTGGTTCAGAACATCATGTCCTTGATGTTGGCCCCAACTCTAGTGGCATCCCCTCCTCCTGTCTCCCTCTCTCATGTCCAGTGTTTGCATCCATCAAAGAGACCAAGTACCCACTGCTTACAGCCCTTAATGCTCAGGCAGCAAGTCCCTCCACCCATGGACATCTGCCCACTCCCACCAGTAGGTCAGGATCCGACGGAACCCTTCAGTGAGCCCGACTCTAAGTCAGGTTCTTCAGGAAAAACACAGTCCCCCTTCAGAGCCCCCACATCCAACAGTCCAGGGAGGGGGACATTGATTGACACCAGGTTAGTGACCATTAGACTGTGGCCAAAACGTTTTGGGGGGTGAGGAGAGCCGGTAAAGTGGGCTGGGCGGGGTTGAGGATGCTGCTTCTGAGAATGATACCTCTGCTCAACAGGCAGGAGAGGGCTGCCCAAGCCCAGGAAGTGCACGTGTTCATGGAGGCAGGATAGGCATTTCAGGAGCCGGATGTGTGGCTAGGGACAATGTGGCCAGGGGGCCAGGGACAGCATGGTACCAGAGAAGGCTGCAGAGTCCACTGGTCCTGGGGCATCCAGTAAGCACAGGACCCTGGAACCACAGCAGTAAGCAGACTGATCTGGTTCCTCTTTCCTCTTTGCTTACATGCTGGGGAGACAACAACACCCAGATGGGTTGTAGAAACTCAGAAGGGAGAGGATGGATGCCAGGAGGGAGCTGAGGGCAAGGGAGCTGACAGATACACTGACACTCTCCCCAGTAAGGGAGGAGCCTGTCATGGAAAAGAGCCTTCTAGGCAATGAGAACAACATGTGCAAAGGTCCTGAGGCCAGCACAAGCTTGTGTGTTAGAAAGGCAGGTGGACAGAGAATAAATCTAGCAAGAAGAGAGAGTTCCATGCACCCCATTGTACTGCAGACATCACCATGTCTGGAGCCAGAATGGCAGATAGGCACCACTCCTGGTTCTTCCTTTAGGTCCATGCCCCTGGTAGACATTATCAATTACACCGAACTCTCATCAAACCTCACAGGCCTCAAGGCAAATATTACCAATCAGTAGGACTCTACCCTCAGAAAGCTCTTAGCCATAAGGGTGAATGATGTTTCAGATTTCTGGTTTCTCCCCATCTGCAGGCCAAGCTGTGCCTCAGAAAAACACATTTCTGGGAGAGTCTGATTTCATTCCCTGGATCAATATTTGTTTAAAAAAAAAAAAATTAGGTGGGACTCTGAAAAGCAGCCAGATTTGGTTCAAATCACAGCTCTGCCTTGATAGACCTGAGGGCCATTAGTGACCGGCTGGTGACAGCAGGCTTGACACTAGGTGAGGCCCCTCCCAGGCTGGCCTCTGGGACTCTGGAACCATTAGCTGCAGTGAAGGGGGGCAGCAGGTGTGGCCTGTGCTGCAGCAGGGGCAGGGGCGGTGATGCCGGCTGCCAGGCTTCACGCATGGTGGCAGGTGGCACAGTGCTGGGTGGGGGCTTTCTCGAGTAGGGAGGAGACACTGGAGTGGGTGAGGGGGTCACCTCCCTGTCTGTGAATGTGGCTAGGCTTCCACTGCCCTTCAGGCCTGCGGTGCACCTCTCCAGGCACAGGGCCAGGCCCTCACTGGCACCAGCCACATTCCAGAGCTCAGTAGCAGCACGTGTGCTCGTGACTAGTTTATCGGGCAGCATGAATGTGGGACATTTCCATCATCACACAAGTCTGTTGGACTCCAGAAGGTTCCCGTGTACCTTGAAACGCCACCTCCCACCTAGGCATATGTAAGAGCCCCGTCCACCTGCCCCATTGTATGCTGGTTTAGAGAACACGGAGAGGGTGGTTAGCCATGGTGGCATGCGGAGCTAGTAATTATCTTGTGGCCATTTCCCTGTGTCCTCACAGCAGCACTGTGAGATGGCTAGTCTGATTCTGCCCATTTACAGAAGGGAAAAGCAGAGGTCAAGATTCAAAGCTGGGGCTGGGGCTCAGCATAGAGCACTCACCCAGCACATAGGAGGCCCTGGTTCGACCCTCAGCACACATAAAAAATAGATAAAATAAAGGTATTGTGTACAATAAAGAATAAGTATTTTTAAAAGGAGAGATTCAAAGCCACTTGCTTCCGTATGCACAGAATAGAAGACCCCAGGGATTTGACCCCAGGCCTGGACCACTCTCCCAGGGAGTCACACCCCTAAGTAGGCCCATTGGAGAGGATTAGGACTGAGCCAGGAAGAGTGGCAGGGAGTGTGTCCACCCACCCCCCCC